CATCATCATCATCATATTTTGGACTCTTGAGAGACCGTTTAAAGGCACCTTCCAAAAATCTTTCTCTCCCACAGCCTCCAGTTTTGATAGGGTTGATGGCGAGCCAGCCAGGGGCCCCTGCCTTGAAGCCTATCTGACCTGCAGCAGGGAGTTCCGCAGTTCCTGGTTGCCCAACTGTGGTCACAACAGCAGCTTAAAGTCCGAGACCTAGAATCATAGAATCCTAGAATCCTAGAGTGGGAAGAGACCTCCTGGGCCATCATCCAGGGAGTCTCTCATTTGGTATCAGCCATGGGTTGAGGTTCTGGGTTTGAGCCTGCCACTTTTGGACTCTCGCTTGCTGAGGTGTTCCGGCGAGTGTCTCTGTAGATCTTAGAAAACTATGTCTGGATTTAAGTCATTGATGTTCTGGCTGCTACCCTAACGGGATGAGCTGGAGGTGTCTCTGCCTTGGTCCTTTCACTATTGGCTGCTACTTCCCAGCGGATGTCAGGTGGTGCAATGCTAAGCAGTGTAATTTCTCCAGTGGTGTGGGGCACAGACACCCTGTGATAATGCGGCATGTCTCATTAAGAGCCACATCCATTGTTTTGTATGATGTTGTTTCCAGCACCCACTTTTTGCTTGATGTTCAGGCAGTGCTTCTTGGAGGTCAGAGAACGGTCCAGAGTGACTCCCGGGTATTTAGGTGTGCTGCAATGCTCCCGTGGGATTCCTTCCCAGGTAATAATCCTCAAAGCTCAGGATGCTTGTCTGTTCTTAAGGTGAAAAGCACATGTCTGTGTTTTAGATGGGTTGGGAATGAGCTGGTTTTCCCTGTAATAGGCAGTAAGGGCAGCTAGAGCTTCGGAAAGCTTCTGTTCTACCATCTCAAAGCTCCCTGCTTGAGCAGTAATGGTAGCATCATCAGCATAGATGAAGCTCTCTGTCCCTTCTGGCAGTGGCTGGTCATTTGTGTAGATGTGGACCATGGATGGAGCAAGCACGCTCCCCTGAGGCAGGCCGTTCTTCTGTTTCCGCCATCTGCTTCTCTGGCTCTGGAACTCAACAAAAAAGCTCCTGTTTTGTAGCAGGTTTCCTATGAGGCGAGTGAGGTGGTCGTCCTTTGTGGTATTTGTGATATTTGCCAAGACTGAAGAGAGCGAGGGATGCCTTCCCCAAATACAACTTGTGCATGTCTGCTTCGGAAGGGGCTTTGGAGGGTCCACTCTGTCCTTCCTCCTCCCGCAGGCCACTCTCTCTCTGTCTCCTCCCCTTTGCAAGACTTAGCCATGTGGTCTCTTGAGGGATGACATGGGTGTTTGGATGGCCCTGGCCTGGCCATGCGCCCGCCTCCATGTTAGCTCACCCTCTTCTTCCCTTTGTCTTCTCTGAGTGTGGAGAGGAAGGTGGACAGGAGCCAGGAGTGTGGTGCAGCAGCTGAAAAGGCCAATGGGATTTTGGGCGGCATCCATGGGAATCTAGTGTCCAGATTGAGGGAAGAAGTCCTGGTGCCTCTCTTTTCGACTCTGGTTTGACTTCACCCGGAATACCGTGTCCAGTTCTGGGCCATGCAGTCCAAAAGAGATATTGCAGATGCGACTGGCAGGAACGAGAGACAGGGCCTTCTCAGCGGTGGCCCCCCGGCTATGGAACGCCCTCCCTAGGGATATCAGATTGGCCCCCTCCCGCCTAACATTCTGAAAAAAGAGTTAAAACTTGGCTTTTTGAGCAAGCATTTGCAGATGCAGTGGAACAGGCTAATTTAGACCCACGGACTGATTGGACGATGCGACTGGAAAATGATTTTAATAATAAGATGTCGAGGACTTGTGCTTTATTGTTTTATTGTCTCTATTGTTTTTATATGGTTTATATTATATGTTAATGTTTTAATGATATTTTATGTTGTTGAGGGTATTGAAATTTTGCCGATTGTAAACCGCCCTGAGTTGCCTCCAAGCTGAGAAAAACGGTATATAAATATAGTAATAATAATAATAATAATAATAATAATAATAA